AAAAAAAATAAAAAAAAATCCCACCCACTTCTTCTTCATGCTTTTTCAATCTTCTTCGGTTAAAACCAATCCTTTTTTTTTTTATTGAAAAATCCTATAACCAAACAAAATTGTAAACCCATCTTGAAATCTTCTCTCCTCAGAGATCTAGCTACAAAATCTGAACTTAGCCACATAATCTTCTCTTCCAATAGATCTAGCCACAAAATCGTGAAACCATGTCTAACCACATCATTTTCCCAAGAATTTTTCCAAGAAAATTGAAGTCGAATAAGGCAGTACCAATAATTATTACAATCAAGCATGAAGTGACACAATGCACATGAATCCACACACAAATCTAGAGATGCATATTCAAAAACTCCATTAAAAAGCACATCAAAAGAGAAAAGCAAATGAAATATGGTAGTAGAGAGTGAGAGACAAGGGATGATAAAATCAATAAAATCCAAAACAAAAATCACAAACCTAAGGGAAAAAAAGGATGCATACAAGCCTGTGCTCTAGTTTGAATCATGATAGACCATCATAAACTCATAAATTTCCAACATTTTGACTTATGATGATCTTGTCTATTTCCTACATAGTCGATTTCTGAATGAAGAGTCACACCATTTTGAGATTTAGAAATTGGAAGAGCCAAACCCAACCCATGGCAAAGGGAAGGAAGAAGAAGACGGTGAAGCATCAAACCAAAATGACAGTAACGGAGAAGGTGAACAGAAACAACAATTATAGCTTCAAAGAGCTTATTGTCGACATTGGCATTAGCTTCTTGCACACCTGGGGTTTAGTAGGGTTCACAACAATATGTAGATGGTGGGGGGTTCAGTTTGCAACAGGCGGTCTCAGTGTCATTATGCTGTAAGACGAAGGCGAGGGCTTAGGATTCTCAACACAAAATTGGAGGGCAAGAGGAGGAGGAGTTAGGGATGACAATGGTTGAGATAAAAGAGAAAGGATAGAAAAGAAGAGAGAGAGATGGGGAGCTATCTGGATAGAGAAAGGGAATGGATGAAGAGACAAGGTAAGAGAGAATTGATTACATGGTATTAATGTAGGGCCCATTTGACATGTGGAAAGCCATTTCGGCAATTCACAGTCAACATTTTGATTTATTAACGAAAAGTGACATTGCACCTAAAAAAATATGTTGGGGTTGAAATTGCATCAAAAAATAGTTTAGGATATGGGATGTACCTGGAAAAAAAAAACATCAAGGGCATTCTTAGACCTTAACCTTTTATTGATTAGCATTATCAATTTAAGTTTTCATTAAGTCATTATATCTTCAAGTTTTTTAACCACCACACGAGCATTAAGAAGTGTTCTAAAGCAGTGCAAGATATTTTATCAGCCTTTAAATCTAGCAAGTGTGTTTGTTTTCTTTGGTGGCTTGCCAAGGAAATGAAGTTGCTAACCTGTTGGTAGTAATGTGCTTTAAAAATGATGTGTCATCCTAAATGACTTTTTAAAACTATATCTTCTTTATCTCTTTTGCTGTTTGTTGATTTGTTGGCAGAGAGTAATAATTATGTTGTTTCTAATTACTGTTTTAACGGGACTAAAATAGGAATTGGTTGATGTTACTTTTTTTTAGAGTTTAGACTGTTGTTTGATTTTTTTTATCTAGATTTTTTTTATGCTTTTCTTTTTTGCATGAGCTGTATGTTACATTATATCTAAGTTTTTTTTAATTCTTGTTAGTTTCAGCTATTAATGTTTATAATTTTTTTTGTGATTAATAAAACTGGTTCTTTTTTGGCAAAAAAAAAAAAAAACCCACCATGCAGGGATAGATTTAGAGGGGACAACTACCCTATGGATTAAACTAATTGTAAAAAATATTTAAAAATTATATTATTTTTATTTGTTAAAGATGATAAAATTAATTTTATCCATGATTATAATGTAATTTTGTATTTTATCCCCATAGATTCAATTCTAGATTCATTCCCTGGCTCCCTGCCAACATGAGATGATATTGAGAATGATTTCTCTGTCCTACCATAATAATAAAAAAAAAATAAATATACAGGAAGGCAGAGTAAATATTACCATTTAAATTATACAAAATATTCAAACTTATTACATATGATTATAGATATCTAAGTTAATCTCTTTGTTAGCTGAGTACTTTGCGAGCCAGCTACAAAGTAATAGAGACTTATTGAATTTATGACATTGCGCCTCTGCATGAGCTTTTGTTTTGGTCACTGTTTTTGTTGAATTTGTTTTTTTTTTTAAACATTCATGCATTTAATTGCATTTCTAACCAAATTTATTTACATTAATAAACAGCTTAAAAGTTAAAAGTTACGAACTTTCGGCACGGTTCCAAAATGATGTGAGAACTTACTATCCCACTCAAATTATTATCACACTTAACTTATGGCACGGTTTCGTTTCATTGCATTTTTAACCAAACTTTCTATTATTTACAGCACAATTTGAAAGCTACAAACTTTTGGCGCGATTTCGAAATGCAATCAAATGGATAAATTTTATAATGATATTTAGTTTTTGAGAATCCTCATTGAAAGTTGAGTGGGATGATAAGTTTTGACCTCATTTCAGAATCATACCGAAAGTTTGTAATTTTAAACAAGTTAATTGAACAAAATTTAAGGGTTTGTTTAGCAACCTGTTTTGAAAACATTTTTTATTCTCTAAAACAAAAAAATAAAAATATGTTTGATAATGTTTTTTCAGAAAGTGTTTTGAAAAACAAAAATGCCATTATAGAGAATAAAAAAGGAAACATTTTTTAGATATTTTGAGATTATTGTTTAGAGAATAAAGAAAAATATGAAAAATACTTATTTTCATCATTTTTTTCTCACAATATTTTATACAAAACACCACCAGTTATCATATTAATAAAATAAAAATAATTTCAAATAAACCCTTAAATATCTGCCTCTTTTCTCTTACATATTTTATTTTAAAATGTTATAATCTCATTTATCTATTTTTTAAGATTGAACTTATTAAAATATATGAAAAAAATGAATTCATTAAAATGCTTATCATAAGTGTGGAATCTAGTTTAAACATAAATTTATATTTTTAGATAATTCAGACGACAATTCTGTGTTCAAACATATCATTACATACAATTTAAATTGTAATTCATAAATCATGACATGACACTTAAAATTCAAACAATATCAATAACTATATTGTTTAAATCCCAACAAAACTAAAGAATTTTCGAGTCAAATCTTTATTATTAATCTTGCACCCGCTACAAAAATAAATTACAAATTACAAAATTGAAAAAGGGCAATCCATGCTTAAATACGATCCAGTAGTACTATATGTTATATAACAAATACAAGTATTATAGTGAAAAAACTATAGGAAATTGCTGTATCTATAACGCTAGCTTTTATGTCGTGTGTGTGCATATATATATTGGCCAAATACACACACACACACACACACACACACATATATATAAGAATATTAGGATTTAGGAGTGTCCCATTTTATTTAAAATATAAGTGAAGACTTCAATAAAAGTATCTGACCTCTTATGGAAGATGCTATTCTACTGAGTTACCTAGTAACATTACGATATTTGATACAATAATAATAATTTCGAATCCCTTCATCCCCCCCCCCAAAAAAAAATCGTATCACTAGGCTTCTTGTTTAGGGTATCCCATCGTTAAATTCTCATTATATTTCTTATCCTTTTATGAGATATAATTAATAAGGTATTATTATATATAAATTATATATTCACATTGATATTTTATGGATACAAGTTGGTATTTATAATACTTTTTGATCAAAGTATAAAATTGAACCATGAAAAGATATCCCCATGCTAGTCAAAAAAAGGAAAGATATCTCCATATTAAATGATTTAGCTACCCATCAAAGATTCATTTCTAATACTTTTTTGGCCAAAAATATTAATTTTTTGAGAAAATATTCTCAATGTTATCTTGAAGCCCTTAATTTGTTGGAAGTACCATTTATTTAATTCAAATACAAAAATTAAATAAATTTTTTAGGAAATATTATTAAATAAATGGATTGAATGAATTGAATTGCACCCTTATCTTAAAATGTTTGAATGAAGTTCATTTTCATTTTTTTTAAAAATACATTATATAGAAAATGTAATCATATTTATTAAAAATAGAAAGGCATTTTTTTTTTGCCATCCTAAAGGCAGGTTTAATTTAGATTCAATTTAAATATCTGAGACCCACTTTAGGTTTTTTATATAATAATAAGTAACTATTTAATGTACACACACTACCTATATAATACACATATAGATATATATTTGGTTAATATAAAATAAAAATATAATTATGTTTTTGTCACCTAAACAACGAGAAGCAAAAACTCAAAACCCAAAACTTTAGGGCCTGTTTGAAAATCTAGTTTGAGAATAGTTTTCTGTTCTCCAGGATAAAAGGATAAAAAAATTCGTTTGGTAATGTGTTTTTAAAAAGTGTTTTTGAGAATGAAAAAATATAATATTGTTTTGAAGAACAGAAAAATGAAAACAATTTTTAGATGTTCTGTGATTATTGTTCTGGAGAATAAGGGAGAATGAAAAAAACACTTATTTTTATTATTTTTTTTATTCTCAAAACATGTTTTGCAGAACATCAGTTCTCAAAATAATAAAATAAAAATAATTTCAAACAGTCCCTTATTTTCTTTCAAAAAAGGCAAAAAGAGGAATATAAAATCGTTTTTTAAATAAAAAAGAATATAAAATCGTTGAAATATGAAGTATCAAGTATCTGAGCCGATAAGTTTATGCCTTTTGCCGTTTGTTTGAAATTAATAGCGCAATCCACTTCTCTCTTTCTCTCCGTTTTTTTTTTTTTGACCTCGCTCAACCCGCTTTAGACGAACCAAAAAAATTGGCAAAAAAGAAAAACCCAAAAAAAAAAAAAATACAACCAACTGCTGAGTGCTTAGCCTTCGATGTCTTCCTTCATAATTATAGTCGCACTGTAAATATAGTCTTCTCCCTCCCTCCCTCCCTCTCTCTCTGCTACAGAATTTGAGGGACTTGAGGCTTTGGTCCGAGGAAAAAAATATTCAGAGCGAGATCTAGCTATTCCTGTTATTTTTTTCCCCTGGGTTTTTGCTCAAATTCGGAATTGGAAGCCCTTTGTCAAAAGGGGTCTTCTCCTGCGCAATCTTTTCGCTCTCTTCTTCTCGGTATTGATAATCATATTCGTGCTCACAATGTTGTTCTCTTCCTATTGTTTGTGAAGATTCTTTTTTTTTTCCTGTTTTAAAGTGTCAATCCCTTTTTGTTGTCCTTTGGATTTATTATGTGAAGCTTGATCGGTCTTTCTAGGTATTCAGATTTCGGTCCAGAATTGTGACATCTTCTCTTCTCATGTTGGATTTAGTTTTACATGCTTGGTTGATTCGTATAACGATACCTGATCTTTACCTTAAAACCATTTTTTTTTTTAAATCTAGCGATACTGTTTTCTTCCCTCTCATGATTTCTTCTACATGATTGGGATTGAGATTGAGATTTTAATTTTCAGATCCCTGTGTCGTTATGAAGTTCAAATCTGCTGGCGATAATGTTTATAATTTTGGTTTTTTGATCGTGATATGCGGCATCGTCATTATGTTTATTCTCAATCAATTCATTAATAATCACTATTTAACGTTTCCGTCTCTATTTATTGAGCCTTTGAGATCAAACTATAGAATTGTATCCGTTTTCTGAATCTTCCTTATTTAAATATAACCTTTGACTTTCAAATCAGGTTGTGTCGGCGGTTTGTGGTGAGTCTTTCTTTCTTTCGGAGCTATGGCTGTTGAGGTCGCTGGATTTGAGATGGTTCAAGGGCCGGTGGAAGTGGAGAACGGTTCTGAAGGAGACAAATCTGTTTTGGTTGGGAAGGAGAATGGAAAATTAGAACGAGATTCTGGAGTTGCTGAATCAATAAAGTTTGGATCACATGGAGATGAACCTGTTAAAGGAGCTAGAGTTGAAGGGAATGGAGTTTCAGATTCCAGTGTCCCAAAGGGTGCGGTGGAAGAGTGGCCTGCGCCTAAGCAAATATACTCCTTTTATTTTGTCAGGTTTCGCTCTTATGATGATCCAAATGTAAAATCCAAGATTGATCAGCTTGATAAAGAGATTAACAAGAAAAATCAAGCCCGATTTCAGATCACTGAAGCGCTAAAGGCGAAGCGGGTGAGTGGAAACTATTTCACCATGATTTGATTAAAAAAATTGATTTTTGCTTAGTAGATCTGAAAAAAGGAATAGATTTCTCTGGTCTCTGTCAAGCTAAATGTCCAATACCAATTAAATTAGACGTGGACATTCCAATGGACTAATTCGCAGGGTGTCTATCTTCTCTATTAGTGAAACATTTATCCACTTTCTAGTTATGAGCACTTCATCACAAAAGTCAAATATATTATGGCACTCAGCTTTAAACACCTATCAGATTTATAGACGTAAGCCACTGTGTGCCAGCACAGTGGATATAATGCGGTGAATAATGTGGCTTTTGGGATAAAAAATTTGTCTTGTGCAAGATGAGTTCGTGTACTTGAATATATGATAAATATGACTTTTCTTATCTCTTGCTTTGATGGTTCTTTGGTTGAGAATCCGACAAAAAGTTGAGTGTAATATTGGAACTTGTTTGTGAGTGTGTTTAATTGTGAATGTTAGGAATTGAATGTGAGTGCATTTAGTAACAAATGTCAGGATCTTTACTAAAGTAAATGTGGCCAGCATATGAACATATTTGTGAGCTAAAATCTGCCGGGAATTTATTTATCAAATATGTAAGCACAAAGTGCTGCATATTTATTGGTTTTGACATTCATTTCCATGAAATTTGTATGCTTATCGAATGACGTCCCATTTGAAACTCCATCTCAATAGACATTCTAATGTGGCTTGATATTTTGTCTATATTACAGGCAGAACGGGCAGAGTTGATTTCTCAGATTAAGGCTTTGAGAGATGATGACAGGCAATTTCGGAATCTTTTGGATGAGAAAAGAAAAGAAATTGAACCCCTCCAACAAGCACTTGGTAAGCTGCGTTCTACCAACACTGGTGGCCGCGGTGGCTTATGCTCATCTGAGGAGGAACTCAATGAGATGGTATGTTACAATAGTACATCTTTGTTCAATGCTGAATTCCTCACTTCATATTGTTTGTACTCAACAAACATCTATTCTCCATTCATCAATGGATCCAGATCTATGGCTTAAATTATCGCATACAACATGAGAGCATTCCATTGTCTGAGGAAAAGCAGCTCCTTCGAGAAATCAAACAACTTGAGGGCACAAGGGAGAAAGTTATTGCCAATGCTGCTATGAGGGCCAAGTTGCAGGATTCCATGGGGCAGAAAGAAACAATTCAAGATCAGGTTAAGGTAAAATAGTTCTTCTTTTGTGTGAGCTGTCTAGCTTCTTGTTTTATCCGTTATTCTCAAACTTTTTTCACGTGTCAAAAGTTCTTGAGAAATTATTTCCTCTGTAGCTTATTGGCGGGGATCTGGATGGAGCAAAGAAGGACAGGCAACTAGTTCTAGCCAAAATCAACAAACTTGATGAGGAATTAAAAGCCATAGACAAGGATATCAAGTCTTTGCAGGATGAACTGGCAGCTGTGACTCAGAAGAGGGAAACCGCTTATGAGAGCATTCAGAAGCTGAGAAAACAACGTGATGAAGGGGTATGTGTTACTTTCTTGCCGCAGACACACACAAATATATTGTTTTCTTCATGTGTTACCAATTTGTCTCCTTTATTGTTATCCAAAGCTATTTTGATTTTTAACCCTTCACCTTTTTAACTGAGGAGGAACAGGTTTACATATTTTTTCATGGTAGTTTTTCAATTGTTGTCTATGCTAACTTCTCTGGTTTAGTAATTTTGGGATTTAGGCTCGAGTATGAATATTGAAGTTGCTTTGGTGCAGTTGCGATTTTCTTGTTATGGGCCTTGGGTGCTATGACCAGATCACTTAATTTTAGTAGTTCTTATAACACATTGTGCACAAAAAGCTATTAAATGAAATCCCAGTTGTCAGTGAGAGTAATGAATCCTGAATCTGAGTTTCTTCAAATCTTTTATCATATAGATGACAACAATAAGCTTTATTCCAGAATGTGTATCTGTTTGCTATGGTTTTTAATTACATCTAGAGAGTATAATAATTATCTCCTGTTAATCAGTTAATGTTATCCTGATTATAATTTGTAATTTATCTTCAACGTTGTAATCTTTTGTTGACAAGTTTATTTGATCCTCATTAGGTTATTTAAGAGTTATTCTAGTGTTTTGTTCCAAAAATCGTGTCTTTTTCAAATTTTAGAACTTGTTGAACAAGGTGCACTAATTAGGTAACATGTAGCAATTTCAGACATGTCTAGTTTTCTTGTGAGAATCAACCTTCATTTCCAGCTGTTGTTGCTAGGGATAGTAGTTTGCTATCATGGTCCTAATAATGTTAACGCAGCACAAGAATGGGGAAAATTCTGCTGAACTGGAAAATATGTTATTTGCTATGGCATTTCAAATGGATGGGTTAATTTTGTTTTTCAGTGCCTTACATCTCTTCATCAACTTGTTACTAGGGAAGCAGAGTTGAAAACAATAATTTTATTGGAATGCATTTAAGAGTGACTGGACTTGGCGCCTTGGAAGCTATTTAAGTCAGATAAAGAGATATGTAAAGCCTTATGAATTCTTCTATAGTTTTTTTTTTTTTGGGAAAACCTCTGATAAAAGAGAGAGTAATAGTTGGCTGAATTAGATGGTTGCCAGTTGCCTCAACTCCAGCTTCCATGCTTATTTCATACTTTTCTTTAGCCAAATTTAATAGTTGGCAGGGTTTTTGTGGCTTTTCATTGCTTATAGTCTTCTCTTTCTCTGCTACGTTAAGTCATTTTTATTCCAATTGTGATAGGATCTGATTATGAATAGGTATGCGCACTAAGTTGGCCAACCCTAGCACTTAACAAACCCATAGTCTCTCTCTCTCTCTCTCTCTCTCTCTCTCTCTCACTCTCTACACACACACACACACACACACACACAACTTTGTGCCGTACCTTTGCCGTTTGAAAAATTTATTTGACATAGTAGCAAGATGCTCACAATTCATCAAATAGACAATGTCATGATCATTCAACTGCTAGTTTGATTGATATATAATGTTTGTTTTTGATGTCTAGGTTGATATATGTTGTTTGATGTGCTGTTTGTGGTCTTGGTTTTGGTGACATTATCATTATTTGAAAAAGCCTTATTATTTTTCTCAGTCTTGTGTTGTGCAGCATAATAGTATCTGTAGTTTGAATTTATTATTTCCATTTTTTTAGAATTCATATTTCTATCAAAGTCGGACGCTTTTGAATAAAGCACGGGAGCTTGCTGCAAAGAAAGATATTAATGCTCTCGAGGAACTTTCACAACAAGAGGTTTGTCCACCATGTTTTCATTCTTTGGAGCACGGTTTGATATTACTAAATGTTTTACACTAACTATCTAACTTCATTTCCCCTGTTCTTAGTTGTTAACTTTTTATGTGATGTTATATTTTAATTTTGATTTTGGTTTTTTTCAATTTTATTTTGTTCTAGGTTGGTAAGTTTATGTCACTCTGGAGTAGTGACAAGGCTTTTAGGAACGATTATGAGAAAAGACTTCTGCCCTCATTGGATTCGCGGCAGTTGAGCCGGGATGGACGGATGAGGAACCCTGATGAAAAGCCACTGCTGGAAGAACCAAAACCTGTTGAAACTACTTCAGTGCCAAAAGCCAGCGTAAAACAGCTGAAAGAGGAGCCCAAATCTTCTCCACAAGATACTTTGCCTGGCGAGAACGTTCAGAAAGAAACTGCAAACAAAGGAAGAGACTCAAAACCCAATCTGGATAAGAAGGATGCACCTGAAGTCAGCGAACCTGAATTTGTAAATCCCCAGAAGGAGACTCCTGCCAAAGAGCCTGAAATCGATCCATTAAAGTTGAAGGAGATGAAAAGAGAAGAGGAAATGTTAAAAGCCAAACAAGCTCTAGAAAGGAAGAAGAAGTTAGCTGAGAAAAATGCAGCAAAAGCAGCTCTCAGAGCACAAAAGGAAGCTGAGAAGAAGCTTAAGGTAAATGTCTATGCAATCTTTTTTCCTTCTCTATCAGACATTTGTACATTGCTCTGAATGAAAGGGGTACTTGGTTGATTTCAGGATCGGGAGAAGAAAGCAAAGAAGAAAGCATCTGCTGCATCTGGTCCCAATTCTGATGAACCAGAGGATGCAGCAGTAGCGGAAGCTGCAGAAGAAGAAAAGGTTGCAGAAACTGTCGACACCCTGGCTCCCGTGAAGGAGAAGGTTTCAAAGGAGACTACCATCAGGTCGAGGAGTAGAACAAAAGGTCCTGAATCGATCCCGAAAGCCATTCTGAAGCGAAGAAGGTCAAATAACTACTGGCTATGGGCTTCATGTGCCGCTGTGGTACTTTTGCTGGTGGCGGTTCTTGCATACTACTATCAAAGTTTAATTTAAGAGGTTGTAATATGTAAGCCAGTTTTTTAACTTGTCGAGAGTAGACTAAGTTAATTTGTTCCATACACACTGTTGGGGTTAGGGGGAATGGATCAAACACACTTTTATTTTGCTTTGCTTGTTTCTGTTGGGAGAAGCTGGTGCACACATTTTATTAGTTTGTCTCTGTTTTGAAATTTTGTTCAGATTACATGAGATGTTACCGGATGCTTAAATTTTAGTTGATTGTTCAGAGGGAAATGGTTCTTAATGTGCCGTATTGCAAGATCTCTGTTGAATGAGAATGAATCTGTGTGCTCCTTGCCAGCTGTGGGTGTTCTACCTGGTTTGTGATAAAATTATATTATTGGCTGAAAATGCTGAATTATAGGAAAGCCAAAGGAATTCACCAATAAAAAAAAATTAAATGTTTTGTCTAATTATTATTAGTGCTAATAGTGCATACTTGATCATGTTAAGCCTATGAAGGTTTAAGAGTTGTGAGACCTATCCTTTATTGAAACTCAGATTGTTATTCATTTCTAAGTTTTCCAAAATTGAAGAGGCGTTAAAAACTCAATTGAAAATTTACAATATCACTATATTAAGAAAAACAACTTATAAATTTTCATAAAAAAAAAGACTTATAAATATATGAATTTTATATTATATTTAGAGAAAATTGGCACAGTGGGTGGAAAATATACATGCCTCAAAAATTGTGAACAGAGTTTAAAAATTTGGACTGTGGCCCTTTATAGAATGTGATATTCTTTTTATGCCTAACAAAAACTTCTCTCAACAAATATAAAATTTTCGATGCTATATATCCAAAATAGAGAAAAAAAATCCTATATAACTAATCCATGACTCAGGATTCCGTATTATATGCACCTAAATTTTTAAAATAAAATATAATATTTTTTTTAGATAATAACAATTCAATTTTTTTTTGAATTCTACATTATCAAGAATTGTTATTTATTATTTGGTTAAAGTTGGCTTGGCATATCATTTTTAGAAGTAGAAGATTAGGTTGAGATCTATTATCTATCATCAAATTTTTACCATCTTCATATCTCTCGGTAATATCAAATATTTTGCGGACTGTGTTTGATTCGTTTTGGGCAAATGATTATGTATTTTTTGTGTTATTAATTTGTAATACTACATCATTGACATATGACTGTATATTAATGATAAACAAGTGGGTAAGTTTTCACTTGTATGGCTTATATATCAATGATATATAATAGTATATCATTGATATACTATCGTAGATCAATATAACTAGATAATTAGAGATAAACTTGTTTATCATTAATGTACACTCATATATCAATGATGTAGTATCTCATATCAGTAATACAAAAAACATAAAATCATTTGTCTAAAACAGATCAAACATAATCCATAAAAAAATTTGGACTCTTAGCTTATTAAAGCGAATTAAATACCTAAATTAATAAAATAAAAAATGATGAATCTGTAGATCCGTTTCCCGCCGGCATGACTGTGGCTCACTCACAATGCTTTGTTTTCTATTGTCTTTGAGTTGTTTCTTCCGTTGTGACTATAACTTGCATTTGTCTCTCTTATTTGTTGATTTCTCGCATTTTTAGTCTCTTCTGATATTTGCAAAAAGCATAATGTTATAATTTTAAAAAGGCAATTTTATAAATTAAATATAAACTAAGTATTAAAAAGGTCATTTTTAAAATTTAAAAAAGAATAGGCTGTTTTTTTTATTTGGTCTTATGATATGATATGGGTCATGCATGCAAAAGTTCCTTTATTAATAGTAAATAAATACCAGCACTCCAAATTTTATTAAAACATGTTTGGCACGAAGCTACACATAAAAGCTGTAGGTTCATATATTATACATTGAGTGCATGGGTAATGGCTTCTTACTGTCTTTGTTATAGCTTTAGGAATAAAGATTCATTTTGTGCATCGATATACACTTTTAAAAGTAAATAAATGGCACAATAGGATATATTTTTTTCACAGACATTCAATCATGCTTTTAAGTGCGTATAGCGCAAGTGGCAGGTATATATATTCAAGTAAAATGTATGACTACTTGTGCAAATTTTGAAGTCAGACTTTTTTGCAAGATGCCACAGCTTCACATGCTTTTAGAAAGTTTCAGATCAAATGAGAGGAAAAATGAGGTCAATGGAAATCCAAACTGGCATTAATTTTCATTTTTCAAAAAAATATATGACTTTTTGATTTATGAACGTCTCAAAGTCAACAAGTTGAACCTAACTGGCTCCCATGTGACAGAAAGGCATACTGAATTAAAATAAAATAGAATAAAGAAAATCAAATCTAGCATTAATTAATTAATTAATCAATCAATAGACCTCAAGAAATTTCATGGGCTCACATCAGATCACACTAGACATGAAGACATTAATATTGTATAAACAGTTGCTTGACATGTATTTCAACACAAACGGGTTAAATAATAAAATAAATTACTTTCACTTTTTTAAGTTTCAGTTAAACATATTTTTCTATATATTGCATAGAGATTAAACAAGAAGTTACACTAATCATGGCTTATAAATGATGCAACTTATCATATAATTTATTATGTTAGACAAATTGTTGATAATGCAATAAATTATATATACATATGTTTGATTGATTGATCGAAATTTTTTTCTTCTAAATCTATATACGCTGATCAACGAGTTATTAATTGCTTCCTCTGGCCTTTTATCACATTCAGATAGAGATCTTCTAAAAGATTTCCATAATCCTTCTCATAAGGCTTTTTTTATTGACAAATTTGATATAAAGTTAACAAACTAAACTTTTTTAATTTATTTGAAGTGATTAACAAGGTTTCATAATAATTAAGGACCAGAGGCAGCATGTGTTTAACCTTTTCGGTACATTATTGAGGATTAATCTTAAACACGTCTCTTTTTATAATCCGCATGAAATATTTTCTACGTGCATTTTACAAATTAATCTTTTGTTACTAATAATTTACACATGGCAGCCAGTGTCACATATAGTTCGTGCTCAACTATTTTCCATGTACATATATAATTAATATATTACAGCCATTATTCATGAAAAGAACCAGAAATGTGCACGCATTTCTGAATTAAATTAACAAGAGTAAATCTCATCCAACGAAAGAATAAAACGATCGAAGACGGAGATTATCAAGTCCGAAACTCTTTCATTAATAACCAGTAACAAAGTTAACTAATCAGTACAACTTTCTTCATATTTATTGCAAGTGATTATGTCTTATTGACAAAATCCTTTCAAGTACTTTCAAGTTTCAATTAGCAACAAGCGTGAAAATTACTCATAATATAAAGCACTTTTTAATCAAATTTTATCCTCTAATAAATTAGTTAATTGTATTCCAACTAATATTATATTTTCATATTTTTATTTATTTAATAGGATAATTTACTTAAAACTAAATATAAAATAATTTATTTATTAAAGGTATTCTTAAAAAATATTAATTATACTTTGAAATACTAAAAATATTTTACATTTTTTAATATTCAATCCCTCAAAAAATGATTTACTCCTCTGGTCATATTAATAAGACACAAAAAATATTTATTTTAGTCTTATTTATATGATATTTCACTATTTTTTATGTTTATCTTAACATTTTTGCTTGTATTAAACGTTAAAAAAATTATTAAAAATAACTCTTGTTGTCCTTATTAGGGGTACAAATGAAAATTTATTAAATTTTAAGATAAAGTTAATGATGAGATTCAATATTTTCTTTGATTTTAGTGAAATATGTTGGGATTGACTAATAAATAATATCAAAAAATACATTACATTTTTAATCAGGTAGAGAAATTAATAACACGGACACAATTTCAAATCCCAACACTTACGGGAATATATCAGAGCTTCATAGGGCATGATCAGATCAGACCCTCGTTATATATTAACTTCAAGCATACCCACAAAAACCAAACTGACATGGAATCCCAGGTTTACACTTTTTGTTACACTTGCCACAGTGATTAACATTGCTCATAACGTTGGTACAAACCCCACCGCAGCATCGTTGGCCTTGCTTGCACTTGTGTCCACACTTGCCACAGTGGTTCATGTCTCCAAGAATGTTGACACCCTTCTTCTTGCAGCATTGCAGAAGCTGAGAGCCCTTCCCTGCAGAAACGCCATTACAGATATTGTTGTTGTCGGGATCACAACGAGCTCCTTTCTGAACTTTGCTTCCCAAGAACCTGCTTCTTGATATGAAATGATCAGATAATGATGCATTGTAAGATGCTGCTGCTTCTTCTTCTGTATCTGCTGGTAAGGCCCGTGGAAGGTGAAGGGCTAGGAAAGTGAGAAGAATGAGAATGGTTGATGTGAGCTTGGAGAAGGTCGTCTTGGCCATTTAGGTTTTCTTTGAAGGCAAGAGAAAGTAATTACTTTTTTGGATTTTCAGCAAGAGTTAGAGTAGTGCGGGTTACTTCAAGGGGTTTTCATGGGTTATTTAAACTGGAAATTTCCATATAAAAATGTACTTATAATGAGAGGTCAAATGGCCAACTTGCTTTAGTTTGTTTTGGGTTCTTAATATAAATGGAAGAGCATGTATCTTCGTTTTGTTTGACTGATTCAGGTTAGAGGTTAGACATTCTGATTTCCGAATCAAATCATTAAGAAAGTAATAATTAAGCTCCTGGTAGGTATAATAGTATCGCCAGTTGACTAAGGGTTAAGAGCTTCCCCCCACCCGTTCTTGCGGGCGTTAATTCTCCAAGAAAACTGAAATAAATAAATAAATCTGTGGTTATTACAGTTCAGTGCACGCTTATTAGTCTTTTAAAAATCGTTTTAATTTGTGTTTGATATATTTTTCTTGTAGAACTGATGCCAGGGAAAAAAAAAAGGAAGAAACTGTAACTATGTCAAGTCATTAGTAACAAGGGCGGAACCAGCCTTAAAAATGAGGGAGGCCAATTTTTACCAAAAAAAAAAAAATATTTCGTATTTTTAAAAATAGTTTTATTCGTTGAAAAATACTGTTACCTGATAATTCTTAGAAGTATAATTATATAAGAATTTCAAGAAAATTGCAAAAAATAAAAAAAATACCATATATCTAAATATAATGTATACTATTTTTATTAAAATATATTTTCTCCAATTCTATTTATAAGTCACTCCCAACATTTTCATTGGAATTAAGAAAAATTTTAAATCTCATTAACTCTATTTAAAAATTTAAAAGATTTTAACTTTATCCTTATTAAATATATATATTTTAAAAATAAAATATTCTAACATTTAACAACATTCCCAACATTCAATATAAACAAAATGATAAAAATAGACACAATAATTATTAAAAATTTTTATAAATAGGATCACAATAACTATTCTCTTTTTGTCCTATAGATAGAACCAATGAAGTATAAATAAAAAAAATGTATGCATATTGTATTATATATATATAATATATATAAGTATACTCCTATAAATAACTAGGACGTAATGTGGCTTTGTTTTGATAAAAAAATTAGGATACATGATGACCTTTTCTTTTTGGGGGGGGGGGGTTTTGCATCATACACTACCATATAGTGTTTGAGGGGCTGGGGCTTTAGGGGAGGCACAGCCCCCAAGGGTCATCATATGTTCGCCCCTGGTTTGTAAAAAACTGGCCTTTTTCATCATCATCATCATCATCATCATCATCATCATCATCATCATCATCATCATCATCATCATCATCATCATCATCATCAGATTGCCACAATCAATTAGTGAGATATCAAAAATTTAAATTTCTACATTATCAATTGAGGTTTGATAAGCCAATTAATTAACACAATTATTTATCTTTTTAAAAATTTAATTTTATTGATAGTTTTATTAAGTGGATAATTGATAGAGTATTTGTTACGGATGAGTCATGTGTAAGCAGGCCTTATTTCAATTAACAAGAACAATTAATAATTATGCATTTATTATATATTATTTGGATATCATCAAAATTATAAGAAAGGCCTAGTTTGGCCCAAAACTAATGGGCCTGAGCCCAAAAGGGGGAGAGAGAGGAGTTGAGGGAAGGAAAAGTGCTTGGTGAACTCAAGGAAAGAAAGGTTTGATGGATCAATGGGAGTTGGTTTGAATAATAAGTAGCTTGATTCTATTTAAGTAAGGTTTAGAATTTGAGTTTTGTGTATGTAAAAAATTTTAGTTAGGAGACTCACCTATTATAGCTAGGTGCACAACTCAAGTTGGATCCAAATTATTCAGAGTGATCGGGTGGGCAAAAAAAAATAAAAAAGAAAGCCTTGAAGTTGAAAACATTGGGTTTTAACCATCGAGTCATCAATATATATATAACTTTTAATTGAATCAACGTTAAAAAAATTGAGTTGAATCAACCACTGACTGTCCGTTTGGATTGAGGATTTAATCGATTTTAGGGGCAAAAAAATCGATTAAGCCATAATTTACCCAAACATTCACTTTTTTCCAAAATCGATTTTTCCCCAAAAAATTGATTTTTTTCCAACGCTCCAAATCTCAGCTTCTCCGCTTTTGCATTTTTTTGTTACAAAGTTATATGAGCAAATTACATAAAAAGTCCAAGAAAAAAATCACAAACAAAGCACAAAATTTAATAAAACTAAAACAAAATTTTTTCTCTTCTTTTTTTTCTTAATAAAATTTGAATCTTTAAAAAAATTACTAACATGAGTATCCAAACAGATTGCGTTATAACATAATCAATTATAATTAAAATCTACCACTTAATCAATTATTTTCATAATCTATTATACCCAACTGAAATTCAAACGGACCCTGAGTAAAAATTTGAGAACCTATTCACAATTATGAGGGTCGATATACTTATGAGGGAAGCGCTGACATCTTAAGATTCCAAGTGGGTGGGGATTTACCATATACTTATCAGAGGTTTCGCGCCATTACATATTGCAAGGGCATTGGAAAGTAAATATAAATTGTGATTAAAAAAACACATAAAAGGGCAGGATCAGCATGTGAGTCAAAGGAACCCGAATGTGCGTATAGTGGAAGCCACGAAGGTGAAATTCAATAAACTTACGAAACAGGCACTAGACTATTTGGAAGAACATCGCGGTTTGTGGCTGCATTATATATACTTATTCGCCCTAAATTATAAAATTACTTTGAAAGTATTTTGTTATCCTAAAATATAAAATAATTTGATAAATATAAAGTTTCTTTATCTTTAAAGTAAAGTAAAGAGAGAATTGAAATGATTGTAATATTTTAAGTATGTAGGTTTAGAGTTATATTAAATGAAAATGATATTTTTGAAAATTGGAAGTTTGTATTTTTGTTTTTTTAAAGGGAAAATTACAATTAAGGATTTCTAGAGATAATTAATTACGCTGCGGAATCAAATGATTCTAATATTATTTTGCAGGATCAAAATATTTACATTTGTTGTGAAAAGATAAAAATACTCTTCATGTTTATATATATGCTCTTTTTACAACAACTCCCCATTAAAAACAAAAGTCTCTTTCACACTTTAACAATAATAAATTCTTTGATTGACAACTTTAAAAAAATTAACTTGGTAGTAAAGAGGAACAAGTGTTATAATTTAGTTAGCAGTTTTCATTCGAGAAAAATAAATCATATTTCCATTCTCACAATAGTCAATTCCCTTACTACAACTCCAAAAAAAATAACTTAGTAGTTGAGAGAAATAAGTGTTGTGATTCGGTGAATAAGTTTTCATTTGAGAAAAAACAAGTCTTATTTTCATTCTAACAATAGTTAATTCCTTCATTAACAACTACAAAATATTAATTTGGTAAAGGAATTGTGATAATATGGTGAACAAATCTCCATTTAAAAAAAGTTTTATTTTCATTTTAACAACAACCAATTTTCCCATCACAACAAAAATATAATAGGGATAGTTTAGTCTTTTCACAATAAATTTTAATTATATTTAGGTCCTTTAAGCTTGCAGAGTAATATCATAATTATTTGATTCTGCAGCGTAATTAATTATCTCTAGGGATCTTTGATTGTAAGTTTTCCTCAAAAAACTAGTTTGTAAATGTTATTATTAGGTTTTATTAGCATGCATAATATTATCTCAAACTGTGATGGAGGGAGTAATTTTTACATATATATATATATATATATATATATAGTTGTTTGATAGTGTTACTACTGTTTACTATTATTTTGGGTGAGAGATGGTGGTACTACTTAAATAATACTCCACCAAACAATGCATAATCATGCTTTTAGTCTTCCACTGCTATATACTTGACTCATTATCCTTTTATTATTACAAATGTCTCCGGTTGTCTAAGGCCTAGTGGTTACTAATGGAAGCAATATCAATATCATTATTATTACTCTCAGTCCGGGGGCAATTTCAACGTTTGGTTTATCAAAAGATAAACTTGCTGTATTACTAAAATTCCAACACCATCAAAACGATATAGTATTTCTTTGGCAAGATTTCTTGCAAGATTATTAAAATTAAAGTCAACAAGAGTATAACATTTTAAAAAATACAAAATATAGAGGCCAAAGTGTTCATTCCATCCTGATATACAAGCAGATTTTTTATATTTTTATTTTTAACAATTATTTTTTAAGTTCATAACTAATTTAATGTTTATGTGAACAAAAAAAGATATTGAAATTCAGAAACATATGCAATGAAAGTAATTTAGAGCATGATCAAAATTTAAATGATCCCACGAAAAAGCAAACCCATATCCAATTCGGTTACTTACAACTTCAAGCATAACCATAACACCCTTTGTCACATGGAAGACCAGGCGAACACTTACTGCCACACTTGCCACAGTGATTCTCATTGAACAAAACATCCGTACAAGCTCCGTCGCAGCACCGTTGACCTTGCCGGCACTTGTGGCCGCACCGTCCGCAGTTGTTCTTGTCGCCGAGAACGTTCCGGCAGTGCTTCTTACAGCAGAAAAGCAATCCTCTTCCCTTGCTTGCAGAAACGCCATTGCAGATGTTGAAACCAGTCATCATGGCATCACAATGCATGCCTTTCTTTATAATTCTCGTCAAGAATCGACTTCTCGTTCCCGTTTGAAGTGAAGAAGAAGAAGAAGAAGAAGAAGAAGAAGGGAAATGATCAAGAACGTATATATCATCATCTTCATCATCCATGTCTTCTGTGAGAACTAGAGGGATGAGAAGAAGAGAGAGAACAGTCGTGAGCTTGAGGAAGCTGATGATGATGTTACGAGCCATATGTTGTGAGAGTGATTTTGAGCTTTCGAGAAATTAATGTTGAGAAGCAGAGACAAAGTTTGGGGCTAATATTTAAAGTGTAAATTTCGAATAAAAATATTCCATATTCTCAGGACAAGAAAATTAAAGTTGTATTTTCTTTATTTTTTTTTTTTTGGTTGCTTTGCCACATTGAAGTCTGTATATGAGGTCATCAAGTGCTTGCATGCTTTTGTTTCATTGTTCGGGGCATAATTTCCTCTCTTGATTCTCGGAAGATGTGATGTGTATGTGCGTATATTTAATTTATAATATACCACAATAATTCACCTGAAAATGTGAGCATTTTAATTGATTTAAATAAGTGAAAATTAAAAAAAATTGCTTCTATAACTTATTAATTATAGTAGTCAAAGTAACTTGTAACTGGGTTGATTTCATATTTAAACTTAATTAACTGACATTTCGCTTCTAAAAATATTATCAAACCTGTTCTGATTAAACTCTAATGGTCGTGACCTCGTGGGATAGTGATGTCGGTGATTTGTCTTAAGATTTGGAGTTTCTTGAGTGATTCATATTATGGCCGGTGTTAATTAGATAATTAAACTTGAGTATGCAATATATAGGTAAATCATAATTAACTGATTAAACCTGATATTTGTGATTTGTCTAAGATTTGACCCTTGCCTAATACCCGGCCTGATGTGTGTTCGAATGACTCAAGTAGGGCTGGGTAGATCAGGCTTTTGTGTGATTTTGAACTGTGTGTATTTTTGAACTTCAAAATGTAAATTAGTCAGCTCAAATGATGGAAGATGATGCACAATTTTTTTATATAATATTATCTGATATTGAATACTATTAAGTTAAATTTAAATATTATCCAACTGGATCAAAAAGTATATTTTTAATTTACAAAATTTGAATTCTAATACGACTTTTTAAAACAAATTTAAAAAATAATAAATGTTGTGCTTCATATATAAAAATAACACTCTCTCTATTTAAAAATATAAAGTATTTTTTGAAGATTTTAATATTAAAAAATATTTTTTATATTTTTAAATATAATTAATACATTTTTTAAGAGCATCTATAATAAATAAAATATTTTATTAGAATGTGCAATTTTTTTAAAAATATTTATATTTTTTAATTGGAGGAGTATATTGGAATGTTTATTTTATCACGACATTGATATCTTGTGATTTATGAATGAGAAAAGCAGAGACCGCGATGCTGAATTCATGTGAGCGCAGGGGGTTGTGGGGTGAGTACTGAGAAGAGGAGTGATATTGAAGGTTGACTACGAAATCTAAACGTAGGTACATGTGTATAGGATCTTCCTTCCCGGCGGGAACTGCGTTAGCCTCACTGGTAGGTCACGCCACTCCGTCACAAAATCGCTGCCCATTCTATCTTCAACAAGTGTCGCCATCTCAGTGACCCTTTTCAACAATAGATCATTAGAGAATATTAACGACTTCATAAGATCTTGCTCCTTTACTGGTCATACTTTGTAGGCCAGATTCAGCTGCATTGGAAACATCCAATATTAATAAATAATCACCCTTCTCATTCCATCTTTCTCTCCTCTCTGTACAAAAGATGATTCTCTTTCCACCTTTTTTTATAAATATTTTTAACATGTTTTTATTAAAATTAAAAAACTTTAAACTTTATTAACTGCATCCAAATATTTAATATATTTTTATTTTTAAATTTGTATCTTGTTAATTATATATATTTTATTAAAGGGAATAAAACAATTTGTAATAAAAAGTTAATGACATGTTTCATAAATAAATAAAAAATAATTCTATCATTGACTTATAATTTAAGGTGGAGAGGAGTATACATCTTTTCAGACATTGAACATGTGTATTCTTTTTTTTTTGTTAAAACATGCATTCTCCTTAAAAAAAAAACTAAATTGCTCGACCATTTTAGTTATTGCCTTATTATAAATGACCATGTTTTTTGTATTGAAGCTTGGAATCATAATTGTACACGATCTTGATTAGATATTTTAGTTTATGTACCACACCATGCTTTATAAATATGAAAAATAATGAGAAATATATTGTGTTCATGCAAGGAAAAAACACGTGGGAGTCTTATTTTTTTGGTCTTAAAGTTACTCTCTCCAATTTCATTTATAAAGTACATTTTAAAATGTTTATTTGATTTCATTTATAAATCATAATGCAAATTTTGAGGTAATATTTAAAATTATTTTTTATGATAGAGAAAAAGTAATATAATCTTACTTTTTAAATTTATTATATAAAAAAATATTTAAAATTTTATACACTTTTATTTTTAATATTTTTTATATTAATATTAATGAGATTGATAGAAATAATTTATAAAGAGGATGAATATGTGGCAAGTAATTTGGGCGGAAGCAGTGTTGGAAATATGACTGAAGGCCAGTCCATTAAACTCTGGCCCGAACTACTTTTTTGATTTTTTTTTGGACGATCTTGCTTTTTTTTTTTTTTTTAATTTATTGAACTGAGAAGGTTGATCCCTTTCTTGGAGAACAAATCCAACGTCTCTTTTTTCACACAATTGAAATTTGAAATCTCTCCGCTCCGGTCTCTTCATCTTCTTCCGTTTCATTTTGGCTTTGGTGGCTGCAATGGCTACCACCAATGCCTTCCTCTCCACTCCGTCCAAAACTCCATCAGACAAATCTGCTTCGTCCAGGAAGTATGCTCACTCGAACTCTCATGATTCTTCCGTTACTCGATCGTCCTCCCATTCCGATTTCAAGTCTCGATTCGAGGCCTACAATCGGCTTCAGGCTGCTGCCGTGGCCTTTGGTGAGAAGCTCCCGATACCTGAGATCGTTGCACTTGGCGGCCAGTCCGATGGCAAGAGTTCTCTCCTTGAAGCGCTGCTTGGGTTCCGATTCAATGTGCGCGAGGTCGAGATGGGTACTCGCAGGCCCCTCATTCTCCAAATGGTTCACGACCCCACCGCTCTGGAGCCTCGTTGCCGTTTTCAGGTTTCGTGCTCTTTTCTAATTTCGGAGCTTTTGAAAATTTTCAAATCCGTTGTCGTTTATATTTTAGGAACCTGAATTCACTGCTTGAAGTTTGTCCAGTCTACAATTTGTTACTCAATAGATTCTTCGTTTTCTCTTGTTTAGTGCTTTAATTTTCTATTGGTGTGACTGTGTATTGATATGGTGTTGTTCAAGAACCTGAGGTTTGAAATTGAAAACACAGGAGGAGGATTCGGAAGAGTATGGAAGCACTGTCGTTTCGGCATCTACCATAGCAGACATTATAAAGTCTCGCACAGACGCACTTTTGAAGAAAACTAAGACGTCAGTATCTCCTAAACCGATTGTAATGAGGGCAGAATATGCTCACTGCCCAAACCTTACTATCATCGATACCCCCGGCTTTGTTCTTAAAGTGAGTACTATGAAGGAATCTATGAGAATAGAATGTTTGACATATTTGAACTTTGTTTGATGCCTAATATTTTGCTTTAGTAAATGAGTAACGTTATTTGTCAGGCAAAGAAGGGAGAACCGGAGAACACACCTGATGAAATTCTTTCAATGGTGAAAGCGTTGGCCAGTCCTCCCCATCGCATCCTCTTGTTCCTTCAGCAAAGCAGCGTTGAGTGGTGCTCATCCTTGTGGTTGGATGCCATTCGCGACATTGATCCGACATTTAGACGGACGGTGATTGTTGTATCCAAATTTGATAATCGTCTTAAGGTATGATCGGGTCAGTTACAGCGTTGTATTTATTTTATTACTTGGCTTCGATCGATGTGTATGAATGCCCCCCTTGCAATTCGGGAGGCTGAATTTAAGTGTTTGGTAGTCATAATCGAGTGTCAAAATTTGCTTAAATAATAGATGTATAATGTCCAAGTCAATACTTTATAGATTGCGAGCTATTGCATGAATTTAAATGAAAATGTGTCACAAGGACAACATGACAACTACTTTACAAAGTGCCAAGTGATTAACTTAGGAAGCACTTTTTTATGAAGGGTAAAATTAAAAGTCCAATTTAATTACTCCATGTCATTCAAACGAAAGTCGTTGTATGCCGCCGGTGGAAGTAGGCTTATGGAATTAGATAATGGCACAAACTATAATGTTGTTTTAGTGTTTGTTCTGGGAGTCAGTTATCTATTGTATGCAGGAATTCAGTGATCGATGGGAAGTGGATCGTTACTTAAGTGCAAGCGGTTACCTTGGAGATAGCACTCGCCCTTTCTTTGTGGCCCTACCAAAAGATAGAGGAACTGTTTCAAATGATGAATTCCGCAGGCAGATTTCTCAGGTAGACTCAGAGGTTCTGCGTCATTTGCGTGAAGGTGTCAAGGGAGGATTCGATGAAGAAAAGTTTAGACCCAATATTGGTTTTGGCTGTCTGAGAGATTATTTGGAGGCTGAGCTTCAGAAGAAATACAAAGATGCTGCACCAGCAACTCTAGCATTGCTTGAACAGCGCTGCAGCGAAGTCACTACTGAACTTGCTAGAATGGACTCGAAAATTAAGGCCACTTCAGATATTGCACATCTTAGGAAATCCGCTATGCTATATGCAGCTTCTATCAGCAATCATGTAGTGCGTAACAAGAGCCGAATTCCAAACTCATTTTGTTAAGCAAAATGGTTTTATAAGTAATAAGTTGGCATGTGATTCAAGTTAGTAACTATTTTTTCTCATATTTGTGTAGGGTGCGTTGATTGATGGCGCAGCTGATCCTTCCCCTGAACAATGGGGGAAAACAACAGCAGAAGAGCAATCTCAAAGTGGTATTGGGGTTTGGCCTGGGGTCATAGCAGATATAAGACCCCCAAATGCTACACTTCGTCTCTATGGAGGAGCTGCTTTTGAGAGGGTGATGCATGAATTTCGCTGTGCTGCATATTCCATTGAATGCCCCCCAGTGTCAAGGGAAAAGGTGTTGTGCTTTACATTGAAATTACTTGGTATTGGTATCAATCCCGCTTCTTTCAACTCAATTCCTTGGTATCGTTCCAACA